GCTATGTCGTAATCAAGTCACTTCTTAATCTTCTCTTTGATAAACGAAAAAGATCAACCTCTTTAATTCTCTCATTTCAGACATTTTCTGCATCCCTGGAACCACTCTTACAGATCCGGTCTATATCTCCCGCGGTGTTTTACTAATCTCCTTAAAATGTCGGTGTGGAACCGTTGAGGGCTCTGGAAGGAGTCCCTCGGTGCTGGAAGAGGAGGCTGAGCCACCTCCTCACTCCTACCTCCAGCTCTGGGCTTCCCGCACGGAGCGAGCGCAGGTTTGCCAGGCAACAGAGACTCGTCTTGGTCAATATTTAGCATTTTTACCAAAATCTGCTGTGTGTGAGTTGTGGTAGCCATAGTGAGGTATTTAAGCAATGGCCAATCCTTGTTGTCTCCTAGATCAGCCGGGTAACTGGTCTGAAATCCCTTTAGCGTATTCACTATTCATATTTTACAGTGCTTTTTTTTTTTTTTTTTTTTTTTTTGTCAGCATGTCACGCATTACTAGGTCAAAACACCTTTTGGACATCCAGGATATTGCTTCTGTGCATTACTGATATCAAACGTTGCAGAGAATGAAATCAGGTTTGCTTGCCGTGACCTATTTTCCCTAAAACCACGTTGACTGCCGTATACGCTTGTCCTTCAGTTCCCTACTGCGTGAATCCAGCGTTGTCTTTCTGTCTTGGACAGTTGTCTGGTTAGCCATCCCCTTCAGGCCATACCTTCACCTTCTTGGATACTCAAGCAGAAGACTCTTCCAGACTTGTAAAATTTCCTCTTGAAAGTGAACATCAGCACGCAGCAGTTTTCTTAGCTCTCTTAGATCTCTTGGATGCAAAATTATTCAGATCTGCCAAATTTAAATATCTTCTGGTGCTGGTGGATGTTGTTGAATGTTCTTCTCGATTGCTAATAAGTTGGAAACGCTTCCTCCTCGTAATGAGTGCTATCCTGCTTCTTCCCAAATGTTCAATGATAGTAATTAGAGCGTGTCCGCCATATCTTTCTCATTAACAACTCTACCATCTCCACGCAGTGATGAACGCTTGTCCTTTCTAGGATGGCCTTTGTCCCTAAAGCCCTCGATCAATCCTTCCTACTGCTCCCCAGGAGACTTCTTCCTGAAGCTCCTTTGCTTTCATACGGCGTAAGCACTTCACAGCTTCTCTTCAGTCGGTGGATGGTGGTGTGCTGAGCTCTGATAGCGGCTGGTTTTGTATTTCTAATTGTGCCCTTCGTTTTGCACAGCAGCCACCTTCACTTTTAGCTGGTCTTGTCCGCTCTTCATTGAGGCATCAGCTTGGTTTCAGAGCTATCATCTACATCCCCATTTTCTTTGTATTTTTTAGTATTTCCCCCAGCTGGATTTCCTGGGGTGAAGGAGGTTAGCATGCTCTGAGTAGCCCATCTTGGACTATTCAAGGCAGCGCATCTTTACCTCCCCTTATTTTAGGGTATAACGGTGATTTCAGCATTTCCCACAAGGTGAGCTGGAACTAGAGTTTTCAATAATGTTGGGTTTTTCTCTTCTCGCCGATAGATGTTTCATTCTGCTAGTTCCCCAGGCTGTTACCAGTGATGAAGAAGTAGTAGGATAAATTATTCTTTTCATATTCTTGCCCCCTATTTTTTCTACTGTTTTCTGAGCATGATGGAGTCCGCAGGCAAGAAGAGGAGCGTTTAGAGGATGGCGATGCAAGCCAAGTGAGTAGTCCACCGTTTCATATGTTTCTGTCTTATTTGCCCGGTTCTCCACCAAATCAAATCAAACGCCCAGGCTTTTTCCTCCTCCTTTCTCTTTCTTCGGCGAAGGATCTTTGGTAAGACGACTTGGTCCTTCCTCTTCACTATCTTCCCTCCAGGATCCTTTGAGTTGTCTTTGATCTGTGTAATCCACACGGTGGTTGTGTCATCTGTGGTTGCATCACTAGAGGCCGGTCAGGCAATTTGTGATAATCCCAACTGAATTTACATTTCAAATGCTTGCTCTGGGAACACACCCGCCACCCCGCTATATTCCCTGCAGCTTTCTCCTGCTCCTCAGGACAGATGTTCCTCGGCGGTTGCTTACCAAGTCACCAACAGCAATTTGATGGTTCCCATCCCATCTGAAAGTCCTCTGGCTTTTTTTTTCTCCTGTCGTGGTTGCATAAACCAAGTTTATTGTGGAAAGCGAGAAAGCTCCGGTGATCGTGTTGTTCCCCAGACCCTGAGCTCAAGAAGATCCTGGTGGGCTTGTCCCTAAGCCGTATGAGTCTTGCATGGCCATGGGACCTGGGGCTGGTACCTCCAGGTGGCCGGGGAGCGATTCTCCTGCCCAAGCCTTGGCCAGGGCACCGTGCGTGGGGTGGGGAGGGGGAGAACCAGCAAAGCCGGAGCTGTGAGCTCTTTGATATTCACCAGAAGCGCTTGCTGCTCGTTAAAGCTGGCAGACAGTTGAGGGCAATCAATCGGATTCCCTCAATATTTTGTTGGGTTGTTTGGAAGTTTTATGCAGGAGAGCAGCAAAGTATTTTTCCTATTCCAGGAAAATAAGCTAAATCTTGTGCCAGGCTACAATAAACGCAGACTATAGAAAAAGAGGAGCGTGTCCGTTGCCGCATACCTTGTGGTCGTGGTCCCTTTACATCTAGATGCGAACATCCCCAACGCAGGTCTGGGAATATCTCCTCTTCCCCCAATTTCCACCTCACTGGAGGGTCTTAAAGGGTGGGTAAGGAGATTATGGGGAGAGGGAAGATTTGCATGTCTCAGATACTGGGAACTTTGTGGGGAGAGAGAATCTGAATAGAAAGGATTGGTTCTCCCTTAATCGGAGCTGACGGGGACGGAGGGCAAAGCTGACAGGATTTTGGGAGACGCTGTCCTGAAATAGAATAGTGGGAAGAAATTCCAAGGGAGGGGGGAGAAAGCAAAAATAATGCGAGGAATTCTGTATGTCAGAAGAGAAACAGCGAGACCATAAGAAAGTATAAAAACTAAAGCAGTATTTTCAGGAATTAAATGTAATGCCGCTTGCTTGGAACGGCTTGGAGAAACAACGATGCGGTGCGAAATTGCCGGGGAAAAATTGCGGCTGCTTTTCGGCTGCAGTTTGGAAATACTCGAGCGGAGGCTGGTGGGGATGGTGGCGTGGGAGCTCGGCAAGCACAGTGAAAGCAGAGCAGAGGCACAGAGCTGACGTGCAGCCAGGCTTGTGAGGTGGTGGGAAGAGCTTTGCTGGAGAGGACGAGGCGACGCGGAGCTCTGCAGCCCGGGGAGCCACCAGCTGCTGGGCAGGGGGAGGAAGGGGCATGGCGGGCAGGGGGAGCTTTGTTCGGGCACACCCCCCTTTAATTTTAATCCGTCCTTCCTAGTTGGTATGAATTTCCTCTGTTTCAGAAAGCTTTTTCTTCAAAGGCTGGGCTTTACGAGGGTTCTCCTGGGAGCAGACCTGTAAGGAGGGGTTCAGGGCACATCTGCCCCCCTTCCTGGGGAACCACCATCCCATCCCATCCCAGGATCTGCCAAAACACCCGACTGCCTCCTGTGAGCAGGAAAAGGTCCTAATGTGTCTGTGGTCGGAGTGTAGGGGGGGGAAAAACCCCTGTGGCCAGGTTATGTGCATCACCCCTGCCTCTGACCGCAGGACCAAAAGGCCGTGTGGACCTGGAGACTGGGTGAGGTGATGGGGCAGTTAACATCCCGGCAGCCGGGGATTAAACCGAACCTCAGAGGTGATCCTGTGCAACTTGTTGTAGGTGACCCTGCTCTGGCAGGGGGGTTGGACTAGATGATCTCCAGAGGTCCCTTCCAACCCTGACCATTCTGTGATCCGTAACACTGGGATGGGGAGACAGCTTCCAAAATGACAGGCGGGAAAAGCCCCCGTCCCGTGGGGTGCGTGCTGGCTCGTGGGGCGCGCAGGGGCTGGGAGCTGCCGGGTGCCGGGCTCTGCCTCCGCTTAGTCCTGGATGCTGCTGCGCTTTTTGGGAATGCTCTGGTCTTTTTTTGCCACCTTAGTTGCTTGTCTTGGAGAAATCATCAGGCGGAGCCGGTTGTCCTGCTGACTGTGCTATATACGTTAATATTTGCACAGCCGCTGAGCATCCTGGGGGTTCCTCGTATGGGAAGGCTCACAGCTTTCATACGGCCTCTTTAATTAACTTAATTCAGACGTTAGCGTGTCTCTCGAGGAGGGCAGGGGGGAATGTTTCATTTATCACCACTTAGCCAGGGAGCACTGTATTTTTCATTTGCATCCAAAAGTTCATCATGGCCAGAGTGAGGATTAACCGTTTGCTCCCCAGTGGGCGCTTCTCCCACTCAGCAGCGCGGACACATGGTGCGAGCAGAACACGCTTCCTGCTGCCCCTTGTGGGCTGTAGGGCCACATTTTCGGGTGGGATATCCCCACCACTGCACCGATTCTGGAAAAAAGCCATCTCTGCTGGCCCCCAGGGAAGCATCGGGCATGTCACAAGGGCTTTTTCCTCGGGAGGTACCTGGGGCAGCATCCATCTGTAGAGCTGTGCTGGACCTCCTGCCAGCCCTCTGCTCCTGTCAGAGGCTCTGAATGTTTTCCGTGCTAGCCCTGGTTGCCAAGCAGGAGGGAAAAAAAATGGGATTTAGGGAGGTGGTGGTGCTGGGAGCCCTTGGAAAGGCTCCTCTCCCCCAGGAGAGCAGCACGAAGCGCGCTGCCTGCAGGCAGAGCCTCGTGGCTAGCAGGAGCTTTGCAGCAAAAGCCTTGGAAGCAAACCAAGGCTAATTAAAGCTTGCTTTTGCACTGGCGTGTCGTGCCGTGGGTACCTGTGACAGATGGGGTCTGGTCGCCGTGACTGTGAGATGCTTTTCGTGAAGAATGTGGTACCAACATGTTTTTTTTCCTGGGAGTTGACGCCTCGTTCCTATAGCTACGTAGGGTTTGATTAGGGGGACCTCAGGGTGTGCTGGGGCTACCTGTGTGCAGCCATAGCCGGCCCCACGGCTCACTGCCCGTGTCCTCTCCTTGTCTTGCAGGTGAAGGAATGGTTGTGCTTGAACTGCCAGATGCAGCGGGCGCTGGGGATGGACATGACCACCGCTCCTCGCTCCAAGAGCCAGCAGCAGCTGCACTCTCCTTCGCCGTCTCCCTCCCACTCCCCGGCCAAGCACCCACCGCCCCCGGGCGCGGATAAGTCCCCGCAGGCCGCCCGTACCCTCCCGCCCGAGCCATCCAAACCTCAGCCCACGACGCCGCAGAGGGAACCGCACGGCCAAGGCCAGCCGAAACCTCAGGAGCCGGCCAGGTCCTCCCCGCAGCATCAGCAAGCCAAGCCTTCTTCCTCCGAGCAGAGAAAGCCGGCAGGAGACGTGGGAGCAAAGCCTGCCACCCCGGCCCCCGGGGCTGGAGCACAAGAGCAAGCCCAGGAGGGGCTCACGGGGAAGCTCTTCGGCTTTGGGGCATCCCTCCTGACCCAGGCGAGCACCCTCATGTCGGTCCAGCCAGAGGCTCCCCCTCCAAGCCAGCCTTCACCTGGCAAAGTGCCTCCAAAAATCGTCTTCAGCGATGCCAGCAAAGAAGCTGGTCCCAAAGCCCCGGGGGCGCAGGGCCGAGCTGGTGCCGCGCCGGCCGCGAAGCCGGGCAAGGCGGAACAGGGCGTCAAGCCAAAGGAAGTGCCGAAAGCAAGGGTCTCGTGCCCCCTCTGCAAGGCAGAGATCAACGTGGGCTCCGGCGAGCCCCCCAACTACAACACCTGCACGACCTGCCGGCAGCAGGTCTGCAACATGTGCGGCTTCAACCCCACACCTCACCTGGTGGAGGTAAGGGGGCTGGTGGGGGCGGGCGACTTCGGAGCCGAGGGTGGGTCCTCTCTCCTCACTTAAAATGAAAAAAAGTCTGTGTGTTTTCCCTTAAAGGTTTACAAAAGCCTTTAAGAAGCTGCTGAAGCCAGGTGACTTCCCAGGGAAGCCCCAGTGCTGGAGGCAATGATCCTCCACCTCTTGACAAAGACATGGATCTCATATGTGTGCACTGATTTCATGCTGGTTTCACGTGAGGAGCGGAGCAAGGGATGGCCATTGTTCGGGGCACCCCCAGCAGTGCCCACTGCTCCCCAAAGGTGTCCAAGGGTGAGGAAATAGAAACAGGTCGTGCAGGTACCAGAGTCACCAACAAGCATCCTCCTCTTGGTGCTGTGGATGGATACCTTGACCAGAATCACAGAATCTCCTAGATTGGAGAAGACCTGTAAGATCATCTAGTCTAATCATTAACCTATCACTGACAAGCCCAACACTAAACCATGTCCCTAAGCACTATATTATCTACATGACCCTTAAATACCTCCAGGGATGGGGACTCCACCACTGCCCTGTGTAATGCGTTCCAATGCCTGATGACCCTTTCAGTAAAGAAATTCTTCCTCATATCCAGTCTAAACTTCCCTTGGTGCAACATGAAGCCATATCCTCTTGTTCTATCACCTGTTACTTGATAGAACAGGTCGACTCCCACCTCTCTGCAACCTCCTTTCAGGTTTGGGCTGAGGCTGGTGAAGGATGTTCTGCATCCTCAGATGGTGAGGGTGCAAGGGGAATGGTATGGGTGGGGAAAGTGCCAGTACCTCAACAGGATTTCAAATCAGCTGTGGTTTGCTGCCCTCTCTAGAGGGCAAAGGCCCCACTACATTGTGCCTGGGTGCAGGGCAGGGGAGTGGGCTGAGCAGAGGATGGATGTGGAGAAGTTCACGGTGCCGTTTGGATGTGAATTGACTATCATACAACTTGCTGGGGTGGAGTGCAAGGAAAGGAGGAGGAGGCTGAGGTGGGGTGGTCTGATGTCCGCCCGGTCTCACCAGCTGTAGTGTAGGAAGTCTCTGAATTGTTGTCATGCCCACCCAGATCATCTTCCCAAGCATCAAAAAGGCACCTTAGCCGACTCTAGCCACCAACATCTGGAGAGGAGAGTGGATACTGCAACTGGGGCTCAACTGGAGCATCCTCCTACCTCTTCCTTCCCTTGCTAGCTAGTGAGGGAGATCCTCCAGGCCCTCAGTTGAAGTCTAGACCCTCACTCCCTCTTCTACATGTGATTTGAGACCCTTATGAGAGGAGGTCCAGGTCTTTCTACTAGAAATGCTGCATCTTGCAGCCAGTAAGACACAGAATCGATATCGTCAGCACATGGAAAAGTTAATGGGGACTTTAAATGACCAGAAGTAGGATTGTTAATCTTGGCTCCGGTCCACGGCAGATAATTACATTTTATGTCCCTAACTCCTCCCTGCAGTTTCAATTACACCCAGTAATTTTCTCCTCTTCCTGAAGCTGCTGCTGTTCATGGTCACGTTCGCAGCAGCCGAGAGCTGCTCTCCCAGAACGGCGTGCAGCCTGCGCATGGAGGTGTGAACCAGCACCTAGTTATATTTCCATGTCCATCAGGTGGCCACCTCCTCGGCCATAATGCCATTTTCAATGGAAACGCTCTGCTCGTTGCTCCTACCACTGCTTCCTTCCTACCCTGAGGGCTCGGGTGAGAAGAGAAGGTGTCCAAACGTTGTGTAGTCCCTTGGGTAGGGCTGAAGGGTGTTGGTGTGCCCTTGGGCAGCAGTGTTTTTCCAGGTTTCAGAAAGCTCATGAGTTGGTGAAATGGCTTTAATGTGATCCCCTTGGCACCTGCCTGTTGATTAATTAATTAGAGAATTAGTTTGGGCTTGGGTTGTACCCAATAATGTGGTGCTCTCTGCAGGTACCATGGAAAGGTGGCTGAGGGACAGGTGGGCTCTCCCCAGCGCTTGTCTCCAGGGTCACCCGCTGACCCCTGCGATTGAATTTCAGATTTTGAAGGCCGAAGTCTGTCGTGGCTCTCTCAGCTTTTGACTAAACACCTGTGGCAAACTCACTCTTGCGTATCCGTCTTAGTTTCTTGCTGCTGCTCATCACTGCGATATCCACATGCCTTCATGTAGAGTGAAGACGCACAGTGACGTCCCACCTGGGCTTTGTGGTGTCTTGGACTTTGTTTCTCTTTACATAGAAGCATTTTCCAGCTTGGAATAGACGAGCTGGTTTGTGGGATTTATTCTTTAAGAGTTGAGGAAGAAATGCAAGACTTGAGCTGTGAGTGTTCTTAACGAAAACTTTTTGAGGAAAGGAAAACATTGCAAGACGTGTTAGTGCAGTCGGGCTTTAGGTTTGCTTGGTCTTCTGAGAGAATTGCTCTGTGGTCTGCTTCTCTTTTTGCCCGCAGCTCACGTGAGCTTGTCCCGAGCCCCGAGATTTCACACAAATAGCAAAACTCACCCTTTGAAGCAGTGAGGCTTGATCCATTAATTGCTTTACGAATTAGGACCTTGACTGTAAACTGTCCTTGGAAGTTGCTCGAAAACTAATGAGGAGACTTGAGCCTGCACCTGGTATGTGCAGGGAAGCGCGAGCTGCGGGTGAGATGGGCAGCACCCTCTGTAGGTACCGCTGGAGCCTGGGCAAAGTCTTGCCCCCTGGCTTCAAGTGGCGTGAGTCACTGGGAGGGAGAGGCCATGGGCCACGCTGGCCTGGTTTTTGGAGGAAGGACGGAGTTTTGCAGCAAAACGGTGCTAGAAGAATGCGTTTTCTGCAAATAAAGTTGTGTCATCGCAGCTTTGTTGCAGAGTTGGAGGTGGGCTGCATGTCACTATAGTTTCGTAGCAAAACCACATAACCATCTTGGGAGGGAAAAAATCGTAAAGAATGTTTGCATCCTCATACAGGACAAGTATCTTCACTAACGAGGTCATCTCCGCTGCCAGGGAGGCACTAATGAACTTGCACTGAGGGAGACTGCTCTCCCTGTGTTGGTGCGGGTTGTCACAGCTCGGTGGGAAGCGTCACCCAAACTGAGTGATTGAGTGGACTCGTATTTGTCGGGGGGCTGGATGACCCCAGGTGTGAGGTAGGAACTGGAGGGCATGCTGGCAGCACCGCTTTTCTGGGGAACCCAGGGTCCTTGATGGCATCATGTGTACTGCTGAGGGCGAAGAGCATCCTAACACCCACTGTCTCTAGTGCTTCAGCATGTGCTGACTTCCAAATTCATCGCGGCTGTTGAGGAATAGTCCTTGCAAGTGGCTGAGGTGGATCTCGGAAGGAGCATGTGGCCAGAGCGGGTCTTTGGGCAGGGGATGGGGAGGTATGGAGGAGCTGCATGCTTAGAGAGACCCCTTGAGATGTCCTAGCCTGCAGGTGGAGGTGAGACCGTGTTAGGCTGTTGCATGCCGCTGGAAGCAGACCTCCTGCTGGATGTCTGTGTGTGTTTCTGCCTTGTGGATGGGTGACCAGTGGGACGTGACAGGTCCCAACTAGCTAGACACACAGTCAAGATCAGGAGGGGCAACTGGTCGAACCTCTGGGCCGCTCTCGGCATCGGAGGGGTGCGGGAGGTGTTGCTGTCTGACGATCGCTGTTATGAAATGGGGAGAAGAAAATCAAGAGCAAAATGCAGAAAGCGGTGAGAAGGCTTTTGCTTCTACCTGTAGCCCCCTAAAACTTCTAATTTCCGTGGAAAGATGCGTTATTATTTACCCGGGGTATTTTCAGCCCCATCCCACTCTTGAGCTAAAGATGGAATTGGAGGCTCTGGGTCTCTGTCGTCCCCTCCCACCCTCCGCAGCCGCCTGGGGAGGTATCCAAGGAGCTGCCTCCTCCCCAGCGCTTCGTTCAGCTGAGCACACTTAAACCTAGCAAAAGAGAAGAAAATACGAAAAGTGCTTTTTTTTTTTTCCCCTGCAGAGTCACTGGCTGAGTTGTGTAGGTGTCAAGTCACCAAAGGAAAAGGGTGACTTGAGCTTCCCTCCTTGTCTTTGCACTGCTGTGGGCTGAGGGCTCCTACAGTCCAGATGAAGGTAGCTCCAAGAACATCCCACCTGTGATGGTGCTGGGTAGTGCCTCAAAGCCCAAAGCTCCCACGCGACCCACCAGCAGGGCTGGCTTTCCTTTGGCCCTGGGTCTTGGGGAACTTCTGGGCATGGTCAGAAGATGGTGGTGAAAGCTGGGAGCCTAGGACACTTCAAGAGTTGAGGTACAAGCATGGCATTTTGGCAGCTCATCCCAGAAGTGTGTAAGCTGTGGTGGCCCATGGTGCTGCTGGTCATCCACAGCCTCCAGAGAGAGGAAGCCCAAACGTGTGCCTGACCTCCACTTCTCTTTCTTGCTTGCCATGATACACGTTACCCAGCTTTAAATAAGTTGTTTATATGAATTAACAGAAGTACAGGTGCATGGAGCTTCCTCCCACCTCATCACACCTCCTCCAGGAGCCAGCTCCTGGGAACAGCACCATCAGCTGTTCCCACCAAGTCAGATCTGGCGCTTTGGGGCTCTCCCAAATTCCCTACAGGCTCAGCCTGGTGACATGCAGGCAGGAAAGAGGTTTCCATTGCAGGAAAACATTGCTGCATTGTTGGGCCATTTCACTGGGGATTTAAGAAATCTTGTCTTGTCATGGTTTAACCCCAGCCAGCAGCCAGGACCAGGCAGCCGCTCACGCAGTTCTCCCCTTTCCCCCAGAAGGGCAGGGAGAAAAGGAGGGGAAAGGAAAGAGGAAAAAAAACCCAGCTTGTGGGTTGAGATAAAGACAGTTTAATAGAACAGTGACAGAAAAGGAAAAATAACAATAATGGTAAAAGAACATACAAGACACAAGTTACTCTGACCACCCGGTAAATTGGTCAATTGGCTCCGTCCAGAGCAGTGATCATGAGTAGCCCCCACCCCACACTGACCCCATTTATATACTGAGCATGAGATCTATGTTATGGAATATTCCATTGGCCATTCCATCCTTC